GGCTGATAAGCCTTTTAAAATTTTGCACGTGGAGGATACGAAATGAAATAATTTTTTTAGGTTTTATATATATATATATAATTAAGTAACCAAAAAATCATAAATTACTCTACCAATACCACAGAACTCGACTATAATTTATCAAGCTTAGTAATTAAGCTGTATTTCAGTCTAAAAAAATTTGAAATTTCTAGAGAACAAAAAGACAATCTACCTGCTTGAAATCTTGGTTCGAAAAAAAGATATAGCAGCCAAACAAGTTAAAATGACTGAGAAAGCCACTAGGGGACATTCTGAGCTTCCGATTGGTTATTCATGTCATATATAAAAGTAAGTGTATACAAGGGAGCATTTCCAAAATTGGAAAGACGTAGGCAGGGTGCCGCTGTGTTTGATTTATTACATGAGCAATATCTTAGTAAATAGAAAAAATAAGAGGTTCTTATTTTATATTCTAACTTGTCAATATTGGTAATTTGAGTTCATAATTCGTACAAAACTATAGACTTAGTATTTTGACATCACAAACATCTAATTTGAACCAGTGCTGCATTCAACATACCACATGACACACAAAAATCGATGTTTAACTGTGTTTTTTTATATTTACTTTTAAATTAAGAATTATAATCTACAGTTTGATACAAAACTTACTGACATAAATTCATGAAATAGTAGTTCAATAAAATTTTGAATATGAGTCAACAAACGTGATGACTTTTCCTTTCACCCGTGACCTGTCTGGAAAGGGTTAACGCAGACATAAGATTCTCCATAAAACAATCTGTACATAGCAATTATATCACAGATTTACATGATTAGTGAAATGGAAAGAACTTATCAAACATGAATTACATTATAACCATATTAATTTCAGAGAAAAACTCTTAATTCAGGATACCATGCCTTTTATGTTACAGAAGAAGAGGGTATGGGACATAAAGGATGCTCAGTCAAGGGAAATAACCAGGCCCATAAGACAAATAATGACAGAGGACTTGTATCCATATTCCACAGTATAGAACATAGGCTTCTAAAGGCTCCTGTTTCATCTCCAGCCACAATATCAGGCACCAAAATGAAAGCATTTTAGGCTGTAGTTGTTCCTTATATTTATGAACAAATTACCCAGCTTATTCAAGAACTATCAGATGCAGAAGAATTTATGATCTTCACTAGCGACATCTGAACAGCACATCTGTTCATCTTCCTAGCTTCACACTGGATTAATCAAAACATCAAACGTATGCAGGCACAAGCCTAGAATGTTTATTCTGTGAATATCCACATGAGAGTGTTTGATAACTCCTCAAACATAACAGCAGGTTTAATACACAGGATTAAAAGAAGCAAATGATGTGCTGTTCATACTTTACAATTCTGTGTTAACGATGATTTGGCAAACATACAGGACAGTCACTGATATGCCAGCAGTCACAAGGGACTTTGTAAGCCATGTAAACCATTCAACAATAACCTCTGAAAATAGTTGGAAGTTATAATCTGATTTTGAAATTGAACAATATTCAATAATTCATGATAATGCTGCTCAGTGGAACTAAATGTACCACATATTACAAGGTCATGTGGAAATAAGACCCATTGTAGCTTTTGCAACTGATAACAAGGTTCCTTTTCTTTTCTCAATCAGTGGAGCTTTGCAAGTATAGCAGTTATTTTTCTTGAGCCATTTAAACAACTTACAAAGGAATGGGTGGCAATGATGCTAATGCATTATTAATTATATTATCCATTGTTTCACTACCAAAATACACCAAAAAGAATGAACTTGACTCCTGTGGAGTAAAAGAAATGATGAATACTTTGTGAGAATCAGTTGGTGTGTGGTTCCAAACTTATCAGAACAACAGAAAGTTGATGCTGGCTAGACTGCTGGATCCATGTTTCAAGCTGAAGTATCTTGCACAGGATATTCACCTTTGAGCAAAACTGTGGCTTGAGGAAGAAATAACAATAATTCTCTTCTAAGGAGTATCAATGATATTCACTGAAACATTACAAATATCAACAGTCTCTGTGGAGGTACAATATCCAGAAATTCCCACTGAAGAAGTTTAGTCCCACTCCCACTGCATATTAATAAATTTCTCCTGTAGGCCTACCATTAATAATGCACTTAGAAAGTAATCTTAGAACCAGTAATACACAATGCATTTTTCATAATTTCAGCCTCAAGGTCCATAAACTTTGTTCTTAGCAAAAGAGCTAAGTGCTGAGAAAGTGATGATGAAAAGCTTAGCCCCCTAAAGAAAAGTCTCATGTCAAAGATTAAACATAATTTCAATTTGATAGCTAATAGTGGCAATATGCAAACTATCATACACAACACTATGCTATAATCTGTTACTTTTGTGAAGAAAATGTCCACAAGCATCATGTTTTTTTTTCTTTTTCAGAATTCAGTCTTACAAGAATAAATAAAGGTGAAGCTCCTTTGGTATGTTGGAATGTATAATCAGCAACAAAAGTTGCCTGTAAGTACCTGAGCCAGCCACAAAGCTCTGTTCCAAGTGAGCATCTCTCTAATTCAGGAGATACCACTAAATCAAACAGGAACAGGCTCATTCCAGAACATACTCAACAGCTCCTGTTCCCCCAATGATAACCCCAGACTGCTTTTTTTCAAGTATCAAAAGTAACTTCTTTTAACTTCAGCAAATGAAAAGTTAGCTTGATTCTCTTGGGAAAAAAAATTTCAAGTTTCATTTTGAAAAAATTCTTGTCTGCTTGCACTAAAACAATTTTGTAAACACTTTCAAAGTTTCATTGTTTCAGCAAAACATTTTTTTGAATAAGAAACTTTTTTTTCTCTTAATACATTCACTGAACTTACAAATTATGATGATATGATGAGATTTATCAACTCAATATTGGCCAATATTTTCTAAAACAAAACAGTTGTCCATACATCAGGATATCCCCAGGGACTATACATAACTTGCAAATCTTGGGTGATAGTGAGTTAATTTCACAAGTTCCAGCTGATACAGACTGTGTACTATACAGGACTCCTTGTAGATTGAGACCGTAGGGAAGAGTACATAGAAAAAAAAATAACACAAGCTAATTTCAACATCACAAATATTTATAAAGAAGCACCAGATGATATCACCTATCAATGGCCTCGCTGGATGAAAATGTTTTTGCAATCTTAAATTCTCATTCTGTTTCAGTTACCTTTACATTGTATGTTGTTTTTACTCATTATCTCTTCTCTTGAAACTAAGTTAGAATTAAACCTAATAACTCTATCTATAATAGCTTACATGCCATAATTCTACAATTTATCACACTATGCATTCTGCATTTAGACTACACAGAATAAATGCTATAAAACTATATTAATAAACCTGGAAATAGCTGAAACTTTTCGTAAATATATACATGAACAATCTAACATACTGTGACAAAATGTCTCACCTTGAATCCCAGTCATTAGTACCTGGATCATACTTGTAGGTTGGAGGAAATCTTACAGGCCCTTCTATACAGCCAACAAATACCCTCTTAAATCCATGTTGTATCGTAAGCTTGTAAAACAGTAAATATATAAAAAAATTAACACACAGTCCTAATAATCAGGAACACTTTTCTTTATGATTATCTTTTTAACTCCTTAAACCTGAGTGGATGCTACCTGCGTCCACCCAAAAATTCCAACTTACCGATCGGACAGTGACAGCACCTGATAACATTTATGTCTCTTTGGCTGAAAACTAATCCAAACTATGTTATTATCCCCTTTTATAAGGTATAGTGATAATTATTAGGACATCATGAAAATAAGTGGCAGAATGTGCAAACAATTGTGGGTTTAAAGAGTTAATATTCAATAATATATATTTTATCATTGATATTTTAAGCCTAGCATACCATTCTATGAAGTTAGCATACTTAGAAGACTGTACATATAAGTGCAAATTGCACACATTTAATACTTTTGTGGTATCACGCCATTACAGCTCATTGCCTATAGTAGCAGTTACCTTCCTTTACAGTGCTACCAATTTCACAAGCTTTAAGTGTTACACTTATTTCAAACATTCATGTGTTTCTTTAAGATTGAGTATTTTAACTTTATGTACTGTTTCATTTTGTGAATATATATCCCTTCAAAAAAAAAACTTAATTAATAACATCAACGATTTCTCACCTACCAATTGGTATTCTTGAAACAACTAAAAAACTTAATTAATAACATCAACGATTTCCCACCTACCAATTGGTATTCTTGAAACAACTTTACAACTGTTATTAACAAAACATCCCAGGGTGGCTGGGATAGAGAGAGAAAGAGAAACCAAAAGAAGGCATTATCAGAATCCAATCAAACAGGACCTTTGTTACTTAGTGATGTGTCTGAAAAACCAGTGCTTTTTTATTTACATTAATGATATTTAAAAAGACATGACCAGTAAATTAGTACAGTTTTGTCAATGACATTAAAATCTTGAATATTTCTAATTGTATTAAGAATGTTTAGGTAATACACAACGTTTTTGATCAACTGGTAACTTGGATAAATAGCTAACAAATGGCCTTTAATTATATTACATGCAAGGTAATGCATTTGGGTTATTATAATTTGGATGACATGTTTAATGAAGTTCTATAATCACTCAATAGCATGACTGAAGAAAATAATATTGACATAATGGTTACTCAAACCATTGAAACATTACTTTTACTAGTTCTAAAGCTAACAGAAATGTAGGTTATACTTACAGATACATTGGTTACAAATCAAAATAGGTACTTTTATACAAATTACTAGTTAAGGCCTCACTGGGAATATTGTGTGAAGATTTGGTCTTATCTAAGAAAGGATACAGACTTATTGGAAAGGGTTCAAAGCAGGACTATTAGGATGATTCTTTGGATAAAAATGTTATTTTATGGAGATAGATTAAAATCTCTAAACTTATTTTTTTTCTGGAGACAAGACAGATAAGACATGACAAAGGTTTATAAGATTACTTAGGGAATCAACAGGATAAATGACTTTGATTTTTTTAACTTTCCATGTGGCGTCAATCGATGTGACCAACCTTATAAACACAAAGTAACCATCAGAGTTTCCATACTGTAACTTTTAATACATTTTGTGTATCTTTACAAAATTTGGCAAGCTTTTTTACTTAAATAGTTTTACTAAAGATTTGTCCAAGTATATTTGGAATCAGAGTGTTGTCTGTCCAAGTACAAAGTTATTTTCAAGTTAAGATACTTAATTTTATTGTTTTATTGACCTATGAACAGTGCCTAACTAATAATTCTGTCACAAAAGTTGTAAATCACTTGACGAAAACATAGCTCACGTTATCACATTGAATGATGTAAAGCACAAGCTGCTCACGAGCATACTTTATGATATATTATTTTTCATTATCTTTTCTAATCTAACCTAACAAGTTTCTATTTTTTTACACTTATGCTACTTTTATAACCATAGGTGTGAAAGAAAAATCTTGAAAGACCAAACTGTCTCTTGTTGTTTGTAATGTTATATTGCATACAGCTGCTGCTGATGCCAATGATCATCAGGTTTTTTGGGTTATAACACAATGCCTCAGTCAAAAAGCTCTTTATAAATAATCATTAATTTATGAGACTGATATAAATGGTGTATATAAGGCTTAAGTTGGTGAAACATGGTCTTTTAATAGGTAGTTGGTGTGATACAATACCACTTTAAACTGTTAATTTTGATTACATCTTTCTTTACCAGACTTATACTGGTTTTCAAAAGTGTATGGTAGCATTTCAACTGCAGACTATTACAGTCCACTGATCTGTTATTATATAGTAAAAGGCCCCATTGGTGATGCAATTAAACATATAGCACCTAAAGTTGAAATGATATTATACACTCTTCATACTACAAACATGTGTAGAGACAGAAAATAAAGATGTGGCTGAAACTATAACCATCCTTATTGTGATCTTTCATCACAAAAACTACTGATGAACAGATTAGGCTTTGTCAATGTAGATAACACATTGTAACACTGAATATACCATCTAGTTCAACTTGACAGCTGTTGTTATCTAGAATGCTACAATACAATTATTTTCTCCTGTCAACTAATACATTACATATTTCTCCAAATAAAAGTTTTATTAATACATTTTATCTGTCCAATCTACAATTATGTATGCAATTCAACACATATATAAATATTGTGATTATTTACACCAAATTAAGTCATAACTTCAATTCCTAAATATATTTAATCTTCACAAAATTCTCAAATTAAAATCATCTTTATCTAGTTTAAAGAACGTACACACTAGTGGGCAGACATTACAGTCTGAGTAACCAGTGATCATGTTAATTTTCCTTCACCCAGATTATATTTTTGCTGGACTTTTCAATGTTTGTTTCTATTGTTAAAATATTGCTCTTCCTTAGGAAAATGAAGTTAGGACCAAGATCAATAGGGCTTGAAACATTAATGTAAATCTAGAGTTCTAAATAAAATACTTACCTGATCATGCTCCAAGAGAGTGGGGTAGCACTGCTTGTCAATCAAACCTTTAACTTGGTCTGTGTCAAGATCCATAATTCGATAGTTCATGTCACCTAGCCAGTATATTTGTTGATGATCCTTGATAAACTTTGGTGGTTTAAACTGATTAAATACTAAACGAGCACAAATGTCACTGTAATCTTGGTTTCTCCTTTCAAATTCTTCTACGTGAGCTGCTAAATGACAGTTGATGAAACAGACTGATGTGCTATGAAGATCAAAACGAACAGCTACACCTCCTTTGTTGCCCTAGTAGAGTATGAAAAACATAGATGAAAATGACCATACATTCCTGATTACAATCTAGTCTTGACTTGCTTTGCTAACAATTCTAAAAATTCTGTGTTATGACTATGTATCAAATATTTATGTGAAAAAAATAACAATAATAAATGTATACAGGTAATAAGTACATACACTGTATGGTAAATGCAACTATAGTTTTCTGAAAACAACTTTTAAGTCCAACATACTTCATCAGGGCTCATACTTAATTTTTTAACTAAAGATATCAACATTTCTCAATTTATTTTGTTGTGAACTCATACTTCATGGAAAAAAAAATACACAAAAGTCAAACCATTTTATTTCAGACCACTTAAATGAGTTTTATAGAAATATATATGAGTGGTCATCTGTCCACAAAACTACTCCACAGTTTAAGATTTGGAAGAAACTTGGAATGATTTTTCAACAACATAAGGGGAAGTTCTTTACAAAGTTTCATTACAATTGGGTCTCTTATTAAAACGTGTGTGTCCCCACTTTTTTAACAAATAAGTCAATAACAGCTTTATATCACTACAAAATCAAAAAATTTTATAAAATAGATGCTTGCTAAAATAAAAAAAAAAGACTGTATTTTATAACATTTTTCCTAAATCACTATGTATTAGCTCATTGTTTGGGGAGGTCGCCAAAGGGTGCGTTGGCAACAGAGCAATTGGAAATTTGGAATGTCCCATTACTTTCCAATAGGGAGGATTTGCCAATTCTTTGAATTGCGCATGTCACTGTCGAAGATGTTACTATAAGTTGAAAGTGGTAAACAGTTATATACAAATATTTACAAAAATAACAAACCTATTGGACAGCTATAGAACATTCCATTTCATCACTTGACAGTCCCATTATTTATGAATATGTATAGTTCCAAGAAGTTACCTTAAAGTTAGTTGTGGTTCAACAAACATGATTGTTTCTGAATGAGAAAAACTAGATATTTGGGATTTTTTTAGTAGGAAGCAAATGGTTGAAAAACAAGAATCATAAAGGTGGGCAATTGTTATAACAGACTTCCTGTTGCACCTCTAACTAACGGGGGAGTGTATACATCTTTATCGACAGGAAAAGCTAATATTTTGTGATTTTAGACAAATATCAAAAGTGACACAGTGCAAGTGCTAAAATCTGAAACACATTCGATGAAAGCATGTGTGTCAAACCATGAGCTGATATATTTTAAATAATTCCACCAGCATGATATGGGTCTTTTTTTAACATAATACATTTAAAGTTGTAATTTCTTTTTCTTTTTTTCAAGGTTGGACAGTCGATCACTATGTACACAATAAAGATACAATTAGGAGCATTTTTAATAAGGCAATTTAAAAAAAATTCTTTTGGCCACCTGTTTCTTTAGGAAAGCTTTCAAATGCTGTCACTTGATTTGATCTTTGATCTCCTCACACTTCCCACCTTTCATCCCCACTTTTCTCTGGTGCTTCAGTCCTCTACCAGAATTTGAAGTGATAGTTTGGTAGAGGGAGTCACATGCATCACGTGAGCATGTCATGCTCCTATTAGTGGAGAAGTGACACATGATGATTTGACACGTTAGAATCTTTCAATTCCAATAGGGTGGAGCAGAAGGCTTGTGGCATGCGTAAAGAAAAATTTTATATAGAGGGCAACACTGAACGAGAATAGCTAATTTTGTGAGAGGAGGTAAGTACCATTGGAAATACATTTTCAGTATAGGAAAATTATAACTTCCGATATGGTACTCACCTCATCTCACACAATTAGCTAGAATCCCACATTGAATAGGAGGGGGGACCAGTGCGAGGGAATGATACAAGTACACCCAGAAAGTGTCTGAAGGATACCCCTGGAAATGAGAGAGTCAGATCTGAAGATCAGATGAGGGGAACTGCACCACTTGTGAACTAGGTATACTCTTCACCCCTCTATGAAATGAGGAGAAGATAAGGGCAGAAAAGGAGAGAAGCAGATCTAAGTTGGAGAGAACTGTATCAGAATCGTGATTCTAACCATATAAAATAAATATAACTCAATCCTACGAATAGAAAAGTGGGTAAAACAATGGATGTGCCCCCAGATGTAAAGTGGCTAGGGCACGACAGACTGTACTCGGTAAGTCAACTACATTCAAAACCCATGCCACTGGGAACCGACATCCACGCAGGGGTAGAAATGAAGATTATACCACCTTCACCTCAAACCCAAGAGACCAAGGAATTGAGAATCATGCCATCTCCCAGGTATGACACAAGTATTATCACCTGACATCCAGTAGTGAAAGGATGTCTATCACATGCAATCAACTCCCCCACCGAGAAACTTACCAGAGCCATACAAAAGGCAAAAACATCCCTGTATTAAGATAGGATGAGGGAGAGCCAAATGACAGAGCTGTAACAATTCCACGTACCACTTCTGTGACCCACAACACAGACAGAGGAAAATCGAGGGAGGAAAACAGACAACCTGAAACATGTGCGAGGACTTATGTTGATTGGTTCTTCTCTAAATCCAAAACCCAGCCTTGGGGTGCTGACATCTATGAGAGGGAAGGATGAGGAATCCATATTGAAGGGGTGAACTGTATTTGGACATATCATGCCTTCATAATTGCATATCACAAAGAGGAGGACATTACATCAAATACATCTGCAGAATACCACTGCCCTACTCTGCACTGAATGGTTATAGCCATCTTTGAGTGGAACCCATTCAGGAGGGTGCCTCCACAATCGTCCACCCAAGTAAGTTGGAATTGGAAAGTGATACTCCACTAGAAGAAAGAAGGGTGGAGAGTCTGGAGGAACATCATCACCTGAGACAGTGCAATGAGTGTCATAAAACCCTATTTTGAAAAGCAGACCATAATGATCTATTGCCTACAGGCATGGCAGGGATGGGCAGCTATCCCCTTCTGCTTTATCCACACAGTCCATGGGTGGTACAGTCTGGGATGTGCATGCTTATGAAGCAAATGATCTTGTGGAACACCCAATCTCAACAGTGAGCATTGCAAAGCCATGGAATATAAAGCTCGAGTTGACATGGCTGTATAATGTGGATTTCAAGTTAAAGAATACCTGGTCAGGCACCATTCACCACAGAGCGGGATCCATATACTGAGGAATGAAGAAAATGGGCCCTGAAAAGAAAAGAAAGTAGGAATAGAAACTTACTAGTCAGAGTCACAGTGAAGTTTGAAGAACAACCACAGGTGTAAGACGAGAATCATACAAAGAAGAAATTGCGATATGTTGTAGATAAAGGGAGATGAATGTATTGGGTATGATCCACATGCCTGATTGTAGAATTTCTTCCAATGAATGACAAAAACAAGAAGCAATGGAAAAAGTGAGGTGTCTAATCTGATGAGAAGAATATGGGAACCAATTTCACAAGGAAGAAGGCAAGGAGGAATAAGTCAATTGGATCAAAAGTCAAACCCAATTAGTAAGGGTTGAAGGTGAAAGTTCACGAATGGAGGAAGACTGCCAGGGGATAAAAAGTTGGGAACAGGTACCACGGAAAGAAGCCATAGGGGCAATATTATAATGATGAGCTCTGACCAGACACAGAGCCTATCCCAATCAGGCTGAGGGTAAAGATGAGAAATGGAAGGAAGGGAAAAGGAGGAGCTACTCTCCCAAGCCACCAAGGTCTTTGGGAGGAAAGAATGATCCAGATAAAGGAGAAGATAGGTAGGGTGATAAAGTAGCAAACAAATCTGACCATTGAAGACCACAGGCTAAGAGGAGAAGGAAATATGTTTTAAGGGAAAGGTGTAACATGGAACACGAGGAAAGTAGTTCAAACAGAGGTAAAGTGAGGAAATGAAGTACCACATTAACATCCCAATCTGGAACGTTAATTCATTTGGGAGGGTGATGCAACCTGAAGGAATGCAGTAAGATGGTAAGGACAGGTGAAGTAAAATCTCTACAGTTTCAGGGAAAACAAAAGGTATGGGATAAAGCTGCCCGAGCAAGGAAATCAAGGACCCCTGGTCAAAAAGCCAAGTGAGAAATTCTGCCATCCGAGCCACAGTAGGCTGATCAGTAAGTAATCCCAAAGTTCTAGACCAACTGTAAAACACCTTCCACTTTCACTGATACACCTCTATAGAAGAAGGATGAATGGAAGCAGCAAAAATAAAACTGGATCTCCTTGCCAAGGACTAGATAAAAGCCAGGTGTGAAGATGCAGGACTTGAATGGCAGGATGTAGGACCGGTGAACAAGGTTGACGCAAAAATATAGGGAGACGATGGAAGAGGAGGAGAGAGTAGCAGGTACTGTTATCACAGAACCACGACTGAGTTGGCCAATAAGGAGCAATCAGAAGATCCAACAATGAGTGGTATGGATGGGAGATATCACCCGAGGAAGTAATTGGATAGGAGTATAAACATAAAGATATTTGTGGGACCAATCTTGGCTGAAGGCATCGACTACCAGAGCCTGAGGTACCTGCAAGCAAAAGAAAGATAACTTGTGACTGAGGCTCTTGCCAAATGCATCCACATGGAGAGAACCCCACCATGTGCAAAGCTCCCTGAAAGCAAGTGGATCTAAGTACTACTCTGTCAGATATATCTGGTTGGGGCGGGAAAGATGATCCACAAAAACACTGAAAGCACCCATCACATGACATGCAAGGAGATGAATATGTTGAGTGTGGGCCCAGTATAAGAAATCCAACATCCAAAAACATAGATCTTTTGACTGGGTGACCACCATAGAATTGTCCGAATGAACCATCACCAGACAATGTCAGGCAAGAAGAAGGAAGTGATTCAATGCCCGACATACAGCTAGAAGTTTAAGAACATTGATATGCAGAGTACTTTCATCCACAGATCAACAGCCCGAAGCTTCCTGGTGGTTGAGCCATGTGTCCATAAAAATATGTAGATCTGGATGCAGGGGGAGGAAGTAGCATGCCGACTAAAGTATTTGCCTTGTCCAACTACCAAAACAGATCATTTT